GGGTATGCTCCAGCCCTTTGGGGGGCCCACCACAGACAGTGGCTTTCCCTTTCCCTGCCCCGCCCACAGTCTGGTGGGGAAGGACTGCTCTAGCTCAGTTGTGGGGGGGAGGGGGCATGCTCTAGTTGTGCTGGAACAGTGCCCCTGCCCACAGCCCCGTAATCAGTTAATGGGTTAAACAATATGTGTAACTAGTCAATCAGTAAAACTGGATTTGACATCCCTACCCAAAAGTGTGCACTAAAATTGATTTCTTTTGTTTTGGTGCAAATTTGTTTAAACAGGCTTCTATAATGTATGAGTTGATAGGGGGCTAAGCATTTCACCTAAGCATGCTGTTCCTAATGTCACGTGACTCTCTTGGCAGAATGCTTGTTTTGAGTGGCTCTTTCTGTACCACTTGTCCCTTCCCAATACAGTTGTGAAGAAAGCCAGAGATTCTCAACAGGATTTGATAGGGAAGGGGCAAAGTGGAACACTAGTTAGCAGCAGCCACTAAGAAGAAGGATTGTTAATGTGTTTTTTCTGGAGGAAGGTCAGTTTTAGAGTTAAACTTAATGGCAAGATGTTCTTCAGCCCTTAAAGCTGGGAGCAATACCTCTCCTATTCAGGAGGAGGAGGAGCAAGTGCAAAATAGAGAAGCACTGACCTCACCTGTTCCTTCCATGTACTTACAGCAGCAAGTGAAAGGCCACTGGGCTAAGATGTAGCTATTAAAATGAACAGTAATAGTAGTGCTTGATGGTATAAACAGATCTCTGTCTAAGCCTGTTGGGATTGTCTTCGCTCAGCTATTACCCTAATGGAAGTCCAAGATAAATCTGGTTTTATCCTTTCCTGAGTAGACCACTGCCAGGAAATGACTACTGGTTTAATGCTTGGTTTTCAAAAAATTAATTGGGAGCACAAGATCCGTTGAAAGTCATTGGGACTTGTACTGTGAATTAATTAGATGTTTCTGAAAATCCTGTCATAAATTCACTCTCTGTGAGTTCCATGATAGCAATTTTATGTTGTTTTTTTGTTCAGAGCTAAAAATAAGGGTACATAAATATGTGACTAATTCTTTTCTTTGAGTAAATTGATTTCACATCAGCATTCAGTTAGACCGTTCTTTGGAAAACTTAAGATGAGAGAAAATGTGATGTGAAATTAACAAACCTAAAGGTTATCTGAGGCCTAGAGGCCATGAGCTTTTTGAAAAATAAATAGATGAACAGCTTACATAAAAAGTGTTCTGAATATTTGTCCAATAGTCATTCTGTGAAAATCTGGCAAACACCCATGCTTTTCTTACAAACAGTACGTGTTGATTTACATACATAGCCTCAAATTAAACTATGTAAAAGGTAGGGAGGAATTCAATCAATCTGCTGCACTGTTGCATGATAATTGATAAACAAAATCTCCAGACTATAGTTAGTTGGTTCACGAACAAAAATATGGCTGAGGGCATAATGCTTCAAATGCTGGTCTTTCGATTGGTCCACATTCACTCATGCCTTCAAATTTTTCTGCAGTTTCATTCCAAACTAAAAATAAGAATACGTAATGATTGTACATAGAGATAGGTGAATAATGGATTTTCCTGGTTCGCTGGCAGTTCTAAAATAATAGTAATACAAAAAGTTTGACCCAGACTAAATTCAAAATTTGCAGAATATATCTGAAAAAGTAAGTTTGTGTGTGTAATAACATTTAAAACATGTTTTCATGTCTTGAAATGGATTTTTATTTTGATATTTGTAAAAAGCAAGAATCACAAATAGGCAACTTTTAGCTTAGTGGGTTTGGAAGATCCACCTACCAGCCTATAGAGGCACTCTGGCCAAATGACTATCGTTATTATCAGGGCTAGACAAACCCTGGCGAGAGCCACTTGCCAGCCCCGCACTGCGCACATGCAAGACCGGCAGTGCACATGCATGAAGCGCTGGTGAATGGGGCTCGTGGCGCAACCGGCTGAAATCTACTCACCATGGGCGAGTAGATTCAGCGGTTTGTCGAGCCCTGGTTATTATGACAGTGAGTTTGTCATTTGGCCATTGTGTCACTCAGAATATAGAGTGTTTGGGTCTGGGTGTGGTGAGATGCCTGGCAGGAGTGGCTCAAATGGTTGCAGGAAGGGTGGGGCTTCCAGTAACCTGATTTCCACTAAAACAGTCCCATAGAGTACCTGTTTGGTGCTGGAGGTGGAAGAAACTCTCTAGTGCCTTAACCCTTTATCCCATGACCATTATCTCACTCCTTTGTCATGAATGACAGTACAGTGATTGTACAGGTTGGACCTTTTTGGCCTGGTTACCCTCAGGACCTGAGCTGTCTCAGATGACAGAATTTGACAGACCAGGGAAGGACCCCTGCCACCAGCACCCTAAGCCTCCTGCCCCTCCCCATGTCCAGCTGCTTCAAGCCCGCTGCTGGCTGGGCTGCATAGCTACCCCAGCCCTGCTGCCATGACTGCTGCTCCAGCCCTGGCCCTGCTGCTGGGGCACTGGCACCAGTGCCGGCTGGTATGCAGCCTGGATTGGGCTGCCGACCTGCTGTGGCCATTGCCATAGCTCCACTGCCACAGCCCCAAACAGGCTTCCCCTGTGGGCCTGCCACAGCCAGCCTGTCACAGCTCTGTCCCCAATGCTGGGCCAGCATGCAGCCCCCATTGGATTGCCACAGCACAACCCCACTGCTGGCTCAGCACATATGGACTGCTCTGGCCCCAGCTAGGTTGCAGGGCTGCTCCTCTACCACAGCCCCACTACCACTGCCGGGCTGTTGATGCCTGGGCCCCACTCCCACCAGCTTTGCCTTGCCCGGGGCTTTCAGCTGCTGGCCCTCCTGTCCTTGGGGCTCTTGTTCAGCAATATCTGTGGTCCTGCCAAACCACGTGTTGCCGGATGAGAGAGTCCCAGTTTAGGGAGGTGTAACCTGTAGTAGAAATCAGGTTTTTCCAGTGCCATGTAGTGTTAAGTGTGGGGCCTCTCTCTGCTCAGCTAGTAAAACTGAGCTCACATTTTGCTAATGGGTAGGCAGCCTGGACAGCTTTTTTCATCAGCAGTTTTTAAGATTCTACTTAACTCTTTGGTTAGTCAGTCTGGGTTATTTCACCTTACTTCCACATCACTGCTAATGTTTAACATTGGACGCATCTGTCATGGATACCTATTTAACTGTCTTCATGCATATTTGTTTGACACTTATCCAGATAATTTGCATAACACAGTACCTCCGCTCTCCAGACATGATGATGCATGTCATTGATGTGCACAAGGGGATCAAAAATCAGGTATTAATTAATGCATGTTGCAGCTAAAGTGGACTGTTTCTGTCCGTAGGGGGACAGATTAGGATAATACAATGTAGGTTTAAAAAATGCATGATTCTAGAACAGCTTCGAAAAGCAACTTGTGAATATGCTTGTTGGTTTGCGAATTCACAAGAGTGAACATTGCTTACGACATAGAGACCCTTGAAATGAAATATTAACCTTGACTAAGAGCAAATTTTGTGCTTTCTTTACCAGGATGGTTAGTATGTCCAATTGTAAGTGTTTAGGCCAAATCCTGTTGTTGTTACACAGGTAAAACACTGAATTCACCAAGAGGAGTGAGGGGAGAAACTTGATTTAGCCTTTAACTGGTAATAGTGCATATTAACATTTTCTTTTCTTCTTTCTTCCCCAGTGAAGAAGTGTGTAAACGAGGATTCACAGTGATTGTAGACATGCGTGGATCTAAATGGGACTCTATTAAGCCTCTGCTAAAGATTTTACAGGAATCCTTTCCCTGTTGTATTCATGTTGCACTGATAATCAAGCCAGACAACTTCTGGCAAAAACAAAGGACTAACTTCGGCAGCTCTAAGTTTGAATTTGAGGTAAAAGCAATATGAAAAAATGTAGGTTTACTGTTTAGTCCATGGGGAGATTTGGTCCAGCTAGCTCAACTTTTTATTAAAAATAGTTGCGCTGGACCTCAGTATTTGGATTGGAGGCCTGCTAAATCAAGCTGCTGGGCTACAAGAAGTGTGGGCTTATTCTTAGTCATGTTAAAGGAATCTATCTCTGAGTTAAACTCATGGAAGAAGGTCTTGGCCACTTCCTAGAAAGGGCAGAGATTTTTCCGCTTACCTAAAGTAGTGGTGATTGTGCTTAATACAAGTATGACATGCAAAGAAAAGCAGCCACCCAGCCTGCAGTCTTGTCCTTCCACTGTGCAATGTGTACTTCAAAACTGTAACCAAAAGACAGGGCCATCCTTTACCATTTGTGGTGCCCAACATAGCCTGAGCACCTGCACTCCCACCTCCTCCTGGTTGGGGGGGGGGGTGTTGCTCTGAGGCTGTGAGAGGAATAGGAGCTGTGAGGGAAGCAGGAGCATAGCAGCAAGGCTGGAAGGGGAGCAGTGCAGGTAAATCCATTCTGACAGTGGTCCCAGGCAGGACCCTACCCTTCAGGGGGATGCTGAAGTGTAGGGCTCAGGGAAGCCTCCAGGGCAAGAGTCGGGCTAATCCCTCACTCACTGCCATGAAGCAGAGCTACATGGCCCCAGCCCATCCTACTCTTCTGGCTTCCAGAACAGCATTACACTTGAGAGAGGGCAAGGGCTTGGAGGAAGGAGCAGAATGGAGGCAAGGTGAGGGTAGAAAAGGGGTTGTCCCAATTCTGCAATGCCCTAGAGAGAGCCCTGCAGAGCTGTGGAACAGCCGGGAGGCAGAGCAGAGGGCCAGCTTAATTGGGATTGTGGTGCTGGCTGCTGGGTACAGCCTACTGTGGGGGATAGGGCTGCTGGAGCTGGTGCTGCCTGCGGTTACTTAATTTCCCATCCCTAGGTAAATGCAGCATAGGGCACCACTGTGGTGCCTACCCCGGATGCATATGCCTAAGGATGCCCCTGCCAAAAGCAGTGCATTTCTCACTAGGCATGATGAGATAATAAATGTAAACAGGAGACAATTTTAAACGATACTATTTAAAATCATAAGTTAGATATAAAACCCCTTTGTGAACAGGAGACATAGACTTTGTCTGCACGTAACTGTTTAAGCTGCGGCTGTGGCAGTGCTTTAAACTGAAAGTGTGGCCATGACATGAGTGCTGGGAGAGAGGTCTCCCAGTGCTCCATGTAAACCACCTCCACACGAGGATTAGCTGACCATGCTGGGAGTGTGGCTCCCAGCACTGCAGCCCGGGTCACACTGAAGCTTTACAGCACTGTAATTTGGGTGGGTTGGGAGGGTTCACACAGCTGACCCAGAAAGTGATAGCACTGTAACGTGCCAGTGTAGATTTTTCCTGAGTTTCTGTAGGGTTTAACATCTTGCCTCACAGACAGTGGGATTTCCAAAGCTGACCTGAGTGCTCTCCTTGAAATAGAAATATATTGAAAGAAAGAGGCTGTGCTGCCTTGGTGGTTTCTAAGGCCACGTGCTTTGTAAGTAAAGCCTTGTGTGTTGCCTTGGTTATTTTTAACTATTCTATACTATTAAAAATGGAAGTACAGAAAATATTAAATAGAACTGTATTTTCACTGAGTTTTCCAAATGCATTGGATTTGTGATTGTGGTGTTCTCCATTATGTTCTAGACTAACATGGTATCTCTGGAAGGCCTTACCAAAGTAGTTGACCCCTCTCAGCTAACTCCAGAATTTGATGGCTGTTTGGAGTATAACCACGAAGAATGGATTGAAATCAGAGTTGCCTTTGAGGACTACATTAGCAGTGCAACCCACATGCTGTCTAGACTGGAGGAACTGCAGGATATATTGTCTAAAAAGGAATTGCCTCAGGACTTGGAGGGTGCTCGAAATATGATTGAGGAGCATTCACAATTGAAAAAGAAAGTCATTAAGGCCCCTATTGAGGACCTTGACTTGGAAGGACAAAAGCTTCTCCAGCGGATACAGAGCAGTGAAAGTTTCCCCAAGAAGAACTCTGGGTCAGGGAACGCAGACTTGCAGAACCTTTTACCCAAAGTGTCCACCATGTTGGACCGGCTGCACTCAACTCGGCAGCATCTGCATCAGATGTGGCATGTGCGGAAGTTGAAACTGGACCAATGTTTTCAGCTCAGGCTGTTTGAGCAGGATGCTGAAAAGGTAAAATGGCTGTAGTGGGGTAGCGGGCAAACAAACATGCATCATTACCTCCCAGGTACTGTGGTTGATCTTCCCTGGCTTAAAAGAAAAAGTGCCAAGTGAAAGCTGGAAAACAATCTTGTCCAAGAACTACTAGGTACAGTTTTCCATTGAGGCTGGGGAGAGTGTTATATTCAAAGTGGCTTTTAGTATTTCTTCAACTTGGTTTCTAATGTGAATAATTGGTGTTTCAGTAAACTTGATTAACTGACAGAATTTGAATTTTGAGTGACACACAGACACTTCAGTTGCAATAAGTTTATTTTAGAATGGTATTTTTACTGGCTTAAAATGAACATGCATACTGTTAGAGTAATGTCCTGCTGCTGCAGCAGGATGAATGCAGTGATGTATCATCTGAGTTTCTAGTTGCCTGACTGAGTCTAATCTGTCATTCTGACCACTACCAAGAGTGGGGACAAGATGCCTACACTGACATCGTTTAGAGTCCTAGTTAATTACTAGGCAAAATGGATGTGCTGTATAATTTCCTGAGATTAATTTTTAGAGGTTGATAACTCCCTTGAAAATAGTGCACATGCTATTTGTCTAATGAAAGACCACAAAAAGAACACTCACTTCATATTTGTGTGCATTACCAGAATTTATTTGGTAAAGAGTTCCGTGCATTAGAGTAAGCGCAGTTGTGCATCAGAAGATGTGCCATAATTATAACTATTTATTTGATCAAGAAGCTGTCTACAAAAATAGTAGCTTCTTCCTGAGAAGCTGAAATTAGATTTCCAAAACACTTGCAGAGTGGTGGGTTTTGGCCCATTTTCTAAAATGTTCAGATTGTAATTTGTGCAGGAATTGCCTTTTCCTCCGAAATGGTGCACATAGTGATTATTAATCTCTAAACTTTGGAGCATCCAAAGCAGCCCCTGCCTGTGGCCAGCCTGGGCTGCCGCAAACAGGATGCTGGACCTGATGTGAGCTGGGACTGAGCAACCCTGGCTCACACCAGTCCGGGACCGCTGTGCCTCTGCATTTTAAAAGAAATACAAGTCCGGAGGCTCTTACTACATTTAAAATGCAGAGCCGAAATGGTCCAGAGCTGGGACTGAGCAGTCTCAGCTCAAGCCGTCTTCCGGAGCTACCCCCGCTCTGGCTCTGAAGAGCAGCCCTTATCGACTAATTGTGTAGTCAGTACACATTGTATCGACTACACAATTAACCAAATAACAGCTCTTCATTGTCCTTAGTTCTGTCTTTTCAGTCTCTAAGGGAAAAAGAGGTGTGTTATGGGAAGAGCCCTGTAAATCGGCTGATTTCTGCTTTATATCTGTGGCCATCTCTCCAAAATTTTGTCACAGTTATATTTAGAGAAAATCATGGACTAGTTAGGGACAATAAACAAAAATTTTCAGAAGTCTGTTACCTGTCCCTGACTTTTATTAAAGATAACTATGACAAAATGGAGAATGAGAAGGGTCCAGACTCACTGCTGCTGGGGCTCCAGGGTTCCACCCACCAGCATTCCATTGATGGCTGAGAGTGTGGGGTCTCCTTGGCTTCAGGGCATCAGCCAACAGCTCCATCTCCACCATTCCCGGACTGAAGCAAAAATGTCACAGAGGTCTCTTAAAGTCATGGATTCCATGACAGAAATTTAGCCTTACTCTTAAGCTCCTCCATATATTGACTGAAAGGCTAAACAAATCCTTAGCATGGACAGATGGCTCTCCACTGTTGGCTTAGAATGAAAGTTCACACTTTCATCACTCAGGGATCTCCAGAGTACCAGTGTTTTCCAGAGCTTGTCCAGCCTGAAAGGACTGATGAATCTATTGCTAGCAAGTAGAGCCCTCATAAGTTTGCCCTTCCAAACATGTTAAAATTAAGGGGAAATAGAAATAATTTTTGTTGATCTTTTTCTCACTATGGTGTATGGTGACTTTCATTGCTGCTGCAGAGATCTTCAGTGGCCATTTTTTGTGAGAATAAAATAGTCAATTGATAAGTCACTTTTTTTTTTTTACTTTGAACTAAAGCAGTCCCTTTGATAAGGAGGAAAATATAATTTTGTTTATCATGGCTGGACAATAATGTGTTTTTCTTTCGAGACCCTTCCTCTTTTGTAGGGCAAATACATGGCACTAGGAGCTTGGGGGAGTGGATCTACCTACTGTGGGCAAGAAGAAAATTTGAGATGATCTGAGAGGAGAGTGTGTGTTCCAGAAGCACCCAATGAAATACCAGAGGGATAAGGATGAAAGAAGAGGGGAAAGAGAGAGAAGTTGCACAGTGCAAGGGGAAATTGGCAGAGAGTTTCATGGAGCATGACTGCAGGTTGAAGGAGGAAGATTGAGTGCAACAAAAGGAGCAGTTTGAGCTTTTATTTGTGCTCATGTCTGCCAGGCTGCAGGTTCTACTGCCACCTTCAGCTGCTGCTCCAGCCCCATGCCTTGACTTTCCTCCACACTATTGTGTCCTGCACTGTGTAGCCTTTGGACAGTTCAGCTGTTTGATTGCTACATGTCACAGGCAATGAGTAGCACATGGAATAGACAGATGTACCTTCTGGATTCATCCTTTCCAGTCCAGTTGAAGCCTACACATGTAACCACACCAGAAAATCAAGGAGACACCCAGGAATAGTTGATCATGTCATGTGGTAACATGCATCTTTCACTGCTCTGGCACAGAACTTTGTTATTATGTTGTATGTTTTGAGGGTAGCTGGTCTGCTTTTCTGGTTCTCATTTTGGTATCTTAATACATGAATAAAATAAAGAGTTTAATTCCACAGAAAGCTACAGTATCAAGTTCTGTAATATGTAATGTTAAGCAGTAAATGTTAATAATGATCATCACATGCCCAATTTCGGTAAATTTCATCATAAAAATTTGCAAACTTCATCAGAGTAATCCAGAAACTAAGTTCAAATACCTGCCCAATATTCATAAAATGTATAACATCTCCACACATTTCATGAAACTGTTTCCAGAATTCATATTACTAGCACACTTAAACTCCCATAGCTGCCTTTTACCCTGTAATATGACACATGGTCAGGAGGCACCACAGAGAGGCTCAAATCAGGGCAAACTGCTTAAAATTAGGGCTACTTGCAGCCAAGACTGGGGCCCTCCTCTATAAGCACCAAACTAGTCACACACACTACTTCAGTTGCCACCTTAGCCATCAAGAAGTCTCATAAGCAATCCCCTAAGACACTCTGGCTTTACCTTTGCCATAACCAGCACTATACTTTACGCAGGTGAGAGGTTTTTAAACCAGTCTCACTGACTCCAAACAGGTTCTCCCTGTCCCAAAGGATTAGCCACAGTCCCAGCTCAGTTTATACCTTAGATCTTACCCAAAAGAGAATGTTGGGCCAGTCCTTTAGAATCTAAAATCTAAAGGTTTGTTAATGAAAGAAATAAATGATTCAGAGTACAGTTGTTAAAGAAAGCACATTACATACGTTAATCACCAAGTTCTTGATGCAGGCTTTTAGCAGAGATGTAATGAATTGCTAACTTAAGTCTCTGGAGTACATCCTTTATTAGGATGAATCAACACTCCTTCCTGGCTCTCTGTCCTTAGCAAAGGTGCTTCTGGACTGGAGAGCAGAAGTGAAGACCAAGATGGAGGAATCCCCGGGATACTTTTATAACCTTGCCCATGTGGCGGGAAATCCATTGCTCTCCTGAGTGATGGTGCCTCCCAAAATGGAGCTGATCACATGATCCACAAACCAGTCTGTCCTTTTTAGGCACAGAGCCCTGGAGTACCCAGGTATGTCCTTCTCAGGCAAGGGGCCATTATGTGTTCCTCAGGTGTCAGTTGGCAACCCTTAAGAGCCATTGTCCATACAGCACTCATTGGGCCACCACCCCTCACAATTGGTGGGTGACGCCTGCCACTGTCTCCCAGACACAAAACATGTAAAATATCAGTACAGAGCCCATCTTCATAACTTTACACACCCAAATCATACAAGTATATGAGTAGCATTGACAGAATCAGCATAGCACGGGCTTTCATTAGACACACATAGCCCAGTTTGTACAGAATTTGGATTTGGGACACACACATACAACAGTGGGTGCGACTACTAAAATCCAGTAACGTGACATACAGAACATGACTTAAAATAATACTTCTTTCCCCCTTACACATGGCATCATGCAAACCTGTTCTGTGGACACACAAAGCACCCCTTATTTCTGTTGGACATCTGGCTCCAGCACCAGTTACGCCAGATTCATTTTGGGTGTGGTGTACTGTCCCATCTAGTGGCATTAAGACTACTTAGAGAGTCTTTTCTATGGCTTGAGCTAAAAGTCAGATGACTATTAATGTGGTAGAGACTTATGTACTGATCTCTAGAGGCAACACTAGATTTCTTTGTCTGTATATGCCTGTTCAGAAATCCAGCACTGAGAAATCATGAGTCTACTGGAAGAGGTTTTTTCCTTGTCTTTCCAGACATTGTGCAATAACATATATAGTGCCTACCGCCTTTCAGTACTTCATAGTCCTGATCACCTATCAAGCCTCTGCTGCAACTTGTACAATGATTAGTCAACTCTAAACTGGCTACCCATGGACCTGTAGCAGGCAGGAGTACCAGCTTCCAGATGGCTACAGTGACCTGTTTCTGGTCTGGCTGTCATCATGTGGGTGTTTTGGCATGGGAGGATTATGCAAACTGATCACATACCTTCAGGGACATTTGTTTCTTCATGCAAAAGGACTGTGCTTTGCTGGTCACCCCAAGTCCGTATGATGAGGTGGTCCCATCAGTTGGTTCTGTGGCCCATCTCCAGAAGTTCTGGTCGACATAGAGGGTATCTGGTAAGGCAACAGACGAGAGCAGCATCAGCTAAGTTGTGGCTGGCATGTCAGTACCCCTTTTAGAGAGGTGACTTTGGCAGCTCAAAAACTGCTACCCAAATGTCAACCAGTATCTGCTCTGCCTGATTCATGAACAAGGACTGGCAGCATGAGATGGAAAAATTCTTCTGACAGGTCGGGATTCATGTTGATGGGTCTGACAACTGGGAGTGTACGGATTCAGAATGGCTTGGCTAGATGTATTTATGGGCTAAAACTATACAAAATACTTTGTCACCTCACACAAACAAATTCTCCCATATCCCACTATGAACAGTGCAGCTTCAGCTAGGTAAAGAGCTAAGAACTGTAGGATATGGTGCTAAACATCTACAAAAACTGAAGCCGCGACGTGGGTCCACGGAGAGCAGTTTGGATATGCCAGCATAGTTGTAATGTTTGAGATTCCAATGCAGCATGGATGCCCAAATGTAAACTTGGAAACATCGAATCTGTAAACATGGGTTATGAAGATGTGAGCTTGTTTCTTCTCAATTTTTTTAATCTCTCTGCTCGGGTATGTCTGACTCCTCTCACATTGAGGCTGTCACACTCTTGGCTCTTCCTGCTCTGGCTCTTGACATTCAGCCCAGCCACTTACAATATAGTCTGTGTTCCTGGCTCATGAAGAAATGGAGAAGTGAAGTTACTAGTGTTGCTTTTTTCTCCACTCAAGCTTGTCTGAAGTAGGTTTTGCCCACGAAAGCTCATGATACTATATATATTTTTGTTAGCCTCTACGGTGCCACCGGACAACTTGTTTAGTGTTGCTTTGGTAACTCATGTATATTAGGAATGATATTTTGAACTTGGCAGCACTTTTGGTTCCTTGCTGTGTTCTTTTATCAAGGAATCCTTTTCACCAAGCTCAGAGAGCAGGTGGTCTCTTCATTTTAGAATTATGGAGGAGTTAATGATCACAGCAGGGAATCAAGCTCTGCATCTGTCTTCCTGTCCTACTTGTTCTCTGTAGGGTTTTACCTTTCACCATCAAAACAATCGCTCCCTAATATCAAATATATAGTACATTTCATGCAAAAACCTATGTGAATGTTAATTCTGTTAATGCACATACAAGAATTCGGCAATTAAAAAAAAGAAATATAAGATTAACTCATCTACCTCTTGAATGCTATTCTTCAAGTCACACTTATCAGTGTAGCCAGTAATTCAAGGTACATCAGTTGTACCAAGTTCTCACTTAAATGGAGGTTGAGAATATAACTTGTATTTCCTGCCTTTATGTTGAATTTCAAAACCTTGGCATTGTCATAATAGAGGATTTGTTCACTATTGTACTGGACAAAAAGGAAGCTGTGAGAGTGTACTTGAGCATGTGTATTTTTTTTATAAATGCACTGCACCTCTGTAATACATATAAGACCTGGATAGGACTGCTGGCAATTACATAATACAAATTTTATTTTTGAGCATATATACAATTAGGCTTTTAATAGCTTGGGTGTTTTGAATATAACAAGCCAGCATTGAGAAGATTAGCAACATAAAATATAGATGTTTTATAATGTCTTTATTTGTGTATTACCTATGAAACACTATAACACTTCAAGTAAATATTTTTTTCCTGTGAGCCTAATCTAATGTAACAGATTTGGCTGCAATGAGGGTTGAAGACAGTCTTTGGGCTGAGATCTAGCATAGCATTTCCATCCCAAAAAGAACATTTATAGAAATGTGAAATGGTTAAAACTAAAACTAAAGTTAAAGTAACAAGAGTAAACTGCAGCTTGAACTTGCTTGTTGTAGCCTTTGTGTCTCTTGCAAAATGCTAAATCACAATCTTTGTTTATACCGGTCATTGCGTTGTAAATGAGTGATCTTGTTGTTTTTCTTGTAGATGTTTGACTGGATCACACACAACAAAGGTCTGTTTCTGAATAGCTACACAGAGATTGGAACTAGTCATCCCCATGCTATGGAGCTGCAGACACAGCACAATCATTTTGCCATGAACTGTATGGTAAGAAGCATGACTTGCAAAGCAGCTGATATAGCGCATAAGTTGGATTTTATGGAAACATTTACAGTCCCTGACCAAAATGAAGACCATGTTGTGCTTCAGAGCTGTGCAAATGCAGAATGAGAATCTCTGTGCTAAAATGAGCTTAGACTCTGAATGAAGAATAAGAGGGGAAATAGACATAGAGGTGATATGACTTTCTCGAAGTTATACAGTTCTGTAGCAGAGCTAAGCCATCTTAGGCTCCTGATGTCCCATCCACTTTCACCAATACTGATGTGTGGTCTATGTACAACAGGTAGATAATGAATAGTTATTTGACAGCTATTAGCAAGCGTTTCAGTAGAGCAGTGGTTCTCAAACATTTTGGCCTGCTGCCCACTCTGCTAAATGCAGACCTTTGTGCAGACCACCTGTCACCCTCCCACTATAACAAAATGGGTGCAGGAGGAGTGGGGGTGGGGAATATGACTGGGAGGTTGGGTGCAGGAGTGAGCTGAGGATAGGGGGTTTGGGAAAGAGGGAGGATGCAAGAGAGAGGTTGTGTTCAGGGTTGTGGCAGGAGGAGTGTGACAGGAGGACTGGAGGTACAGGGTCTGGGCATGAGGGGGATGGAGGCTGCTTAGTTGGGTTCACGCAAGTCACCACTCCCAGGCACTATTTTCCACTGTTTCTTCTTATGTTCCTATGTTCTCCCATCGGCCGTGATTCCTGCCAATGGGAGCAGCGGGGAAAGCCTTCAAGTGAGCGGTTTCCTGCGCTGCTGTTTCCTCAGATGGGGAGAGAGAGCGACAGTGTACAAAGCTGCTTTCTGCCCCCATGAGCTGGATCTGGGTTCAAGATTACCCCTCCCTGCAGCAGGAAGCTAGTGCTGGCACTTCAACCGCACGGGAGAGTGCAGGGCTAAAGGATCAGTGTGGGCTCCCCACTGCATGGTGGGGGAGTCCTGAGCCTGTGGTCTACCTGCAAGATGGTCACAGACCACTAGTGGTCCACGGACCACATTTTTGAGAATCACTGCAGGAGAGGATTCTTAAGTAGTGCTTTAGAAATTGCCAGTAACTTCTGAGAAAACATGTATGGCTTTAAATGAAGATTGATGCTAGATGGGTGCATTATATGGGCAAAATTAGTTTATATGAAAACCCATAAATTGACTCCATCCTATGCTTGAACACTTAAAAGAAATTTTATTGTTCAATAAAAGAGACAGTTAGCTCAGTATTCATAATCCTCAGTTTTTAAAAAGGATAATTTTTCATTCTGACATAACAGAATGAAGTTGAAATAAATGTTTTCTCATGGAATAGAGATATTTACTATCTTCTAACATTCATAAAAATTGATGTTTTTTTAAACAAATAACCCCAGATATTTAAAGTTTTAATTTAAGTACAGATTTGTTTTAAAAATCTTGTTTAAAATTAAATTTGGAACTGACATCTTACGTTAAAGCCTAATCTTTTTTAAATTAAATAACAAATAATCATATTTAGTACATTGCTTGCCATATTTCTAACAGTCAGACCACTGTGCTGGTGTTCGTTATTGGTAACTACCTGGAACCAGAATTTTAAAATGATAAACCAGTTATTGACATCAGGAACCTCTTCTGCAGACACAGAGAGGCTATTTTCTTGATTTCAGTTTATTCAGTTTATTTAGTTGAATGACTAATTCAAAGTGAAGAAACCACATGGGAGTTGAAAAATCAGGCATGCTTGTTTTCATATTCAGATACATGGATAAAAAGTATCATGGCAAGTCGGGGCTAAGCCCCCTGAGCCTGCGCTTCCTGGTGGGGTCTTTGTGTGGGCCTCAGAGGCTTGTGGTGTCCCTACTACTGCTGAGAAGGCAAGGGTACCCTGCTCCCAGAGCCCTTTTCATCATTGCTAGTCCAGGATTTGAGGGCCAGTCCCCCGAATGGTGCTGCTTGCCGATACCCAACCAGCCAAGAGCAGGGTTGGAGGGAACCCAGATCCACCCACTTGCTCCGGGTTCCGGCCCAGGGCCCTGTGGGGCAGCTCAAAGTAGTCTTATGAGGCTAGATCCTTGCCCCACTGGAATGCAAGCCCCTCACTGTGCCACTTCGCCAACCACTCCCTGGGTGCCTCTTCCCTTGAGTCTAGGAACAGCCCTGTTAGGTGGTTGTCCTCCTGAGTTTGTCTCCTCCAGCCACACCTCTCCTTCCTTCTCTCCCAGCTTTCCTGAGGGAGAGGTTTTTTATGGTGTGCCCATCAGCCTTAACTGGCAACAGGTGTCCTAATTAGCCTTCCTCTCAGGCTAATGGATTTCCCCAGCTGGCTGGTCGCTGGCAGCTGCACGGGGCTTCCCCTACCTCTTTGCAAAGAGGCGGAGGTTCGCCGCTCGCCGCGCTGTTCCCCAGTGACCCCTCCTCACCAGACAAGGAGCAAAGAGGTAGGGGAAGCCCTGCGCAGCTGCTGGCAACTGGCCAGCTGGGGAAACCCAGCTGCCAGCTGCAAGTGGGGGGCGGAGGAGAGGGAGCGAGGCATCTGGCCAGAGGGGGCCGCCGGGGAACAGAGCAGCAAGCGGCGAACCTCTGCCACTTTGCAAGGAGGCAGGGGAAGCCCTGTGCAGCTGCCGGTGACTGGCCAGCTGGGGAACCCAGCCGCAGGGTGCAAGGCCTCTCCCTTGTCCTCCTCTTTCCTTCCCAGAGCCAAACACCTGTCCTCCCTGCTATAACCCAGTCCCCTTTCTCCCTCAACCTTATGTCCCGGTCCCAGCTGCTAACAAGTGCAGGCAGGAGCCACAAGTGCAAACGCAACCCCCACTTTTTCCGTTATTTTCACCCCACATAATATGTTTTCACTTAGCACGATCGTTTTCTGAAACGTTATCTACCGTGTTAAATGAGGAATTACTATATTTTATTTGCATTTGATTTTACCATCTAAATAGAACTCAACACAAAATCTAGTAAATAAAAAATGAGTTATTTACCATTTTCTAACATAATAAAAAAGTAAACACTGAGGCTACGTCTACACTGCCACGTGCTTTTGCGCAAGAGTGTCCACGGCAGTGTGGATGCTCTTGCACAAGAAAGCTCTGATGGCCATTTTAGCCATAGGGATTTCTTGTGCAAGAAATCCCTGTTGCCCATCCACGGTAGCCTTTTTGCGGAAGAGCTCTTGCGGAAAAAGGCTTATTCCTCGTATAAAGAGAAATAACTCTTGCGCAAAAAACCCTGTCTTCTTATGATTTACTGTACTTTTTTCTGCACAAGAATGCATTTGTAGCGTGGACACTCTGCAAGCTTTTGCGCAAAAACGACAATTTTTGCTCAAAAACTCTGCAGTGTAGATGTAGCCTGAGAATGTACATAAAGTTGTTATAAAATTGCTTAGTCAAATGAATATAGATATAGTGTATCCTATTTGTTACTAAAAATATCATCACCAAATTTAGTAGAAAGATTATATTTAGTTAGAACTCAACATGTTTTAATTGTCACCCAATGCAAATGAATCTTTCTTTAGGAAAACACCTATAAAGTACCAATGTAAAATTAGATTAAAATAACTGATTTAAATCAAAGTTTCCTGCTTGCTAATAAACCATTTTAAATTAGTGATTTAAATTGCTTTGATTTTAAACCAATCCACCCTGTTCAGGAACAGCTACTTGTTGTAAACTTCTAAATACAGAAAAATGGAAAAGGGCAGAAAAATAAATAAATAAATATATATATAATTTTATATTGTAAACTAGATGAACTTTGAAAAACAAGTGTGATGCTATTAAAAAGTCACAACTTTAAACAATGACAGTGAGGAGAAGACATTACTGAATATCTGCTCATTCAGAGAACTTCAGTTTTTCTTCGAGTGATGTGTCCCCATGGTTGCTTCACTGTTGGTGTTGAGCTTGTCCTGACGGCATAGATCAGAGTTTTTTCTAGCAGTATCTGGTCAGGTTGCACATCTGCGGGCGGGGGATGAATGCCGTTCATGCGGCCTGACTCCCCTTGCTTTCTTCATGTACACCCTCTTGGGTACGTGTCAAGCCAAAGAAGAGGGATGGAGGGGAGGTCATGGAGAAGATTCTGGGGGCAGACGAGAGCCTAAAGGAAAAACTCTTAGTTGGAAATGGTCTGACGCATCTGTAAAGCAGATGAAGTATCCATGCACCGGGTGAATGGTTATATGAAAATAAGTATCTTGGGGGTTGAGGGCTGCAAACCAGTCTCCCTTGTACAGTGCTGGAATGATTGCTGCCAAGGTGACAATTTTGAATTGTGGCGGTATTTGTTTAGATGACAGAGGTCAAGGATAGGTCTCCAACCACCTGTGCATTTTTCTGTAAGGAAATCATTTGAGTATAATTCCCTACCCTGATATTGCTTGGGCACCCTCTCTATGGCTCTTGTGCGCAAGAGATGCTGTATCTCTTGACGGAGAAGCACTTCATGAGAGGGGTCCCGGAAGAGGGATGGGGAGGAGAGGGAGGTTGGTGGAACTGAAATAAGGGGGATAGAATAACCACACTTGATGATTTCTAGGACCCAGCGATTCATGGTGATTGCTGCCCACTGATTGTAGAAGGGCCGCAAAGGATGGAAGACCACTGGTAGAGTAGAGACGTCATGCAGGCCGTCAACCAAATCCTCAAAATTGCTCCTTGGAGGACTCTTGGGTGGATGAGTATGTATTGGGAGCTTGTTGGCACTGGTTCCTTGCCCTGGAGTGATTTTGGTCAAATGGTCTTTGCTGCTGTTGCCTGCCAAAAGAGAAGTCTCTCTGTCTTTGGTAGAGAGTGTAGCATATCCTACAGTATGGGGGCATATATATCCCCAAAGTATGTAAGGTGGTTCATGAGTCTTTGCTGGAGTGAAGGACTTCACCTAGTTTTGCAGCAGAGAGGTCCTCAGCTTTAATCTGAAGCTCTTTGGGGACATCTGCTGCTTGCAACCATGACGGCCATCCCATCACAATAGATGCTGCCATTGTTCTTGCAGCTGTATCAGTAGAGTTAAGAGC